CTCCCCTGCTTATGTTCCTACTCTCGTTGTGTATCGCTCTGTCAAATAAATAAATAAAATCTTTTTAAAAAAAGAAATTGTATATTGACTATTATAGAAGAAATATCTAATAGGAAATGTATTATTAAGTATGGTGCATAAAATTAACACGTGAAGTATTAGGACTCTCAGTTCATAATACTCAGTTCAGCAATACATGGGGATGGATCTGTGTCTAGGTTCCAGAGTCAATTATTGGTAATTGGTAATTTTAGGTAATTGTTTTCAAAAACTCTTCCAGATACAGAATTTTCTGTATATCTGAGGAATGCACATTCCCTGATGGACAGAAAATGCACCACTTTTTCATTATATATGACTTACATTCTTTTTTCCCCATTATGCCCTACATTTTACTACCTTTACTTCCTCCCCACTTTTATTATTTGACCCCAGCATGTATCTGAATTTCATATATCCTTCAGGGTTCAGGCTAAATACAACTTCTGTCATAACGTCTTCCTTAAGTTTCCTCTACTGTTTCCATTTCTCTTTAACTGTACCTTTCCTAAGTTTTATTAATTTCTGATTTTTATTTTATATATAGTATATTCGTAACAGGTAGGACCCATTTTCATCTTTGTAGACCCAGAACAACATAGAAGTAACTTAAACACTGAAAAATATTTGTTAAAAAGTTAATTGATGAGTGCACATGATGTTATATTCTTTTGGCAATTTACATTTAGAGACATAAAAGTAAGAGCCTAAAAGTTTGGTAACTGAACCCAGAATTCATGTCTACTTTTTAAATATCTCTCAGTGTTTTTCTGGATGAATTCAGGTTTATCCTGACATATCATCTTTGTTCCTTATCTCTTTTTCTATTTGAAAACTAGAATAATACCAAGATTTTACTTACCATATTGTGATAGTATCAAGAATCAGACTTTTATAATAACTGAGCAAAGTGGAGCAGCTATCTATGAACTTTTACCACTAAAGCTATTTGTACTGTGGATTAGCTGTGCCTGTACCCTTCCTTTACATGTCCATAGCCTCAGTATCTAATGTACTGTAAACCATTATTTGGCCCAGCATGCTATTTTGGCCACAGTAATAGCTAGTTTAGGGAAAGATTAATGCCAGGGTGTGAAGACCAGATGAGGATCAAACAAACTTCATGACGAAATTATGCACCTATATTAATTACTTAGGCAGGTCTGCATTTTGTGTGAAGTTTCTTCCATTAGTAGAAAGACAATAATATTGAATTAACTAGTTCTATTAAATGTGAGACATGTGCATAATTGCAAGTCTGACCACGTAGTAAGAAAACTATAGGACACACACTTTCATCAACTATGTTTTGATTTGACTGAGTCAGAAATCAAGATGACTCACTTCTTCACCTTTATTCACTAATGCTGTTTTCTCAGCTAACTTGGAAGAAAACAAAGTGTCATAATGTACATTGGATCTCGAATGTTAAATGCACTGTTCCTTACTGCAAAATGCTTATACTAGAAGCTATTGGACTTGTTGTCCTGAGTGAATGGACATTCCTTTTCATGTTTCTTTTGCTTTTTTCTTATGCAGATAATTATAACCTCTAAATAAGGACACGAAGAACAATAGCACACTTTGATCATTTTCCAGAAGTTATACTAATACAATGGGTAAATGAAATTGGATTTTTCGATTACATAAAAATAGCACCGACTTTAATGACCTTCTTATCTCAGTGAAGCACTTATTAAGGATTAGCAATTTAAAAGAGCTTGGAGGTATTAGCATCTGCAAAGGGTTTAAGAAAGTTGGATTATCAAGACACATGCTCTATATCTTTCTCTTCTTGGTCCTAGACTGAGGGAATAATTATGGGTAGAAAAATTTTCCCATTTCCCCCAAGACTCTCTGCTCGGAGTTTACTCTTTAGAAATCATAACTCTTTCAATGGAGATTAGCACTTTATCAACAGGTATTCTAAAAAAGATCCCGTCAGTTGCTAAGCAGGATTCACAGCTGCTTGCTAAATCCCACCCCTGCACATGTTAGTTCCCTCCCAAGTGCAGCCATTAATGCCCTATGAGTTAGAAGCACTGCAGCCAAGTATACCTATCAGGTAGCATAATGTTCCCTTTACCAACCAATGTTGGATCTTTGCCAACCTATAATCCTAGCAGGTAAGCCTCATCCTTTATCTTAAGCAGTTTCTACTGTTGGATTCCATACAAAAGTACAAAGTAATTCTGCCACATAATGTTATTAAATACTCTTTTTAGGATCCACCATAGAATGAGTATAAGGCTTCCTTCTATTTGCATTTACTGTTAAAACCAGAAGCCATGGCATTAACACAGGTTACACTTGTAGACCCTGAATGGCTAAGTTGAAGTGGTTGTTTAGATAAGTCATAATTTATTCCAAAGAAAAGATATCTGGCCTGAGAAGCAGGCGGTCAGAATAAGAGTTAAAGGTAACTGTTGTAAAGCTGTCCAAGTATTTTCCACAAGATTCAGGGAGAAAGTACACCAGTGACATCTTATATGAAGGGTCATTGGCCCCCTAAATGCATGCTCAATCCATTAATGTTACTAAATAATATGATTAAGCATCTACAGAATAAATATACTTCATTATTGTGTATTATGAGATATGTTTTGCATTATGACTCCGCTTGAGTTATGGAATGGACATCAGCAAGCTGGTGGCTATGGAATGTATAGGGCTTACCTGGTTGCAAAAGCATCTTCAACTTCTATGCCACAGCACAACTTGATTCGGTGCCATTCCATACCAAGTTGGAAAAAACGAAATTTTCGTCATCTCTCTCTCTAAATCATTCTGGCAACCTCATGGCAATCAAGACTATGTCAGGAGGGGATTATGGTGCAAGTGTTTTTGTGCTTAAGGACTTTATGTCTTTACATCCGTGCAAAACAATGACACACAATAGAGGCTAAGTATATGGATAGATTACTGAATGATCACATGTTACATTATAATATGGACAAATTATTCATAGTAGGGGCGCCTGGGTGGCTCAGTCATTAAGCGTCTGCCTTCGGCTCAGGTCATGATCCCAGGGTCCTGGGATCGAGCCCAGCATTGGGCTTCTTGCTCAGTGGGGACCCTGCTTCTCCCTCTCCCTCTGCCTTCCACTCCCCTTGCTTGTGCTCTCTCTCTTTCTGTCTCTCTGTCAAATAAATAAATAAATGAAATCTTTAAAAAATATATTTTATAAAAAAATTATTCATAGTAGATTATCTATATTGCTTAACCTCTTTATAAAGCACATCTCATACTCAAATGCATAATGTCTAGGGCTTTGTTGGATTTTAAATAATTACTAATACGTATGTGCTTTTCCCAAATTGCAACACTGTTCATCCAAAATAGATAAGATGATGGTGTTTAAGGATACAAACTTGTAATAAGTAAATAAGCCATAGAGATCTAATGCACAGTATAATGAATATAGACAGTAATGTACCATAATTATGTAATGTAATAAATATTGCTACAATGGCAATCCGATTACAGTATATAAATGTATCAAAGTAACTTTATGTATGCTGTATGCTGTACACCTGAAAATTACATAATGTTACATGTCAAATTTATTCAATAAATAAATAAAAAGAAAAAAACAAAATACATAAAAGAAGGTTTTCCTTTCTAGTCTATATTCTTTCTCTATTCTATTTCCTCACATTCTAGTCACGTAAATTACAATTATAAATATTCTGCCTGGAAATTAGGATTTGATGCAACTTCCCTATTAACAAGTTTGACTCCAGTCAAATCTTCATTCATTTGTCAAACTCTCAATTAAACTTCCATTTCTTATACTAAATATGTCCACCCAGGTAAATTGGCCAATTGCTGGCATTATATCAGGAGAGATCAACCAATCTCCCTCACCACCAGTAACTCATATAATACCTCATATTTTTCAATTTACTCTTTTATTTCTCTCTTAATATCAAAGTTATACACACACATGCATATAATCACTTTTCTCAATAGCGTTGATAATTACTGCATTCTTACTCATTAATTTTATCAAATCAATTTTAATGCTTATAATATGGCAGGCATTTTGTCAGGATGCAAAGGTAGATAATACCTAATCACTCCCTCGAAGGTTCTCTCGTAACCATGAATTTCCTGTTTACAGTCACTTGCTGATAATGGGCATAGCCTGTGCTCTAATCCTGGCCCCGTCAGGCTCCACTAGGACCACCAATATATGTGGTTGTTGTGGATGTGGATTTGGGATTCAGCCTGGTGTGACTCAGTCTCCTTATTATCTGCTTATTTACCTCTGTGATGTGGGGAGAATTATTTTACTTCTGTATTGCTCAATAAATGTGATTTAAAAATAAAAATTATAGCAGTACTTATTTCACAGGTTTGCAGTGAGGCTTTAATGACAGGATATGTACTAAACTCAACATAGTGCTTGGCGTGTTATACCCACTTAATAGGGGTGTGTGCATTGTGTGATTGTTTTGAAACTTTTGAAAACAATGGATCTACATAATTGTAATTTGTTTTGGACAAAAGACAATATAAGATTTTTTAGATAATTTAGTGAGTATTTGCATCTTGATTTTGTACTTATTTGTGATTTTTTTTAACTTCAGCTCCATGTAAATATCACAAAAATTAATATAATTGTTAACATTAAGATAATTTGCTTTTATATTAACATTAATATAATTTGCTTTTATATTTTATATATAGCCCACATATTATAAAATCTTTAGTAAAATTTATAAAACAATTATAAAGCCACGATGGGAAGCAGTTGTTACTAGAAATTTTGGATTTTATTTTATATGACTCAGGTAAACAATTAAAGAGGAAGGTTAAGATAATGGCATAGAAAGGACTGAGTTTAAGAGCTATTTACTTATGGAAACTTTATAATGTAAAAATTTAAACATCTGAAGAAAACATCTAAAATAGTGACTTTACTATTATAGGTTGTTACCCTTCTTTTTATCTTTCAGGAATACACAATAGATATAATTTTTGCCCAAACCTGGCTTGACAGTCGTTTAAAATTCAACAGTACCATGAAAGTGCTTATGCTTAACAGTAATATGGTAGGGAAAATTTGGATTCCTGACACGTTCTTCAGAAACTCAAGAAAATCTGATGCACATTGGATAACAACTCCTAATCGTCTGCTTCGAATTTGGAATGATGGACGAGTTCTATATACTCTAAGGTAATACTATTTAAAAAAATGTAGTTGTTCTAATTCATTTTCCATACTAATACTTGATCAACTTGCAAATTTTCCTTTTTCAGTTTTACAAAGAAAGAAATATGGAGTTCCTTTCATACACTAAAATTTAAAGTGGTGGAATATTTTGGAAACTTTCTTTTTTTAAGCTCAGAGTAACTGGTATATGAAAGGGACTAAAAGCAAAGAAAAAAACCCTCTTGATATCCCCCCCTCCTGAAACATAAGAAGGTGTGGTGTGACCATTATGTGTTTTAACCCATAATACAAATGGTTGACTGAGATTTTCTCTAGGAGTCAATCCTGCTATAAAATTCAATAATGTAGTAAAACATTCTTAAGAAGGGATTAAATGAAGATTCAAGTTTAATTCATTGTCTCAAACATATCTTAACATATCTTACCAAGAATCATCCCAATCTTATTAAGAATCATCCTTAATGGAAAGAAGTTCTTGAAAATTTAAGAGAAAACAATCACCATGCTTAACCATGTATACTCTGTTAATTGTGTGTGTGTGTTTGTTGTGATCCTGAAGTATAAATTTTTAACTGTAAACAGAAATTATACTGAAATATATACAGTGGCAGCTTAGTTGGCTGGAGAGGAAAATGTTAGAATTTTCTTACTCACTTGTGAATGCTATAATATCACCACTTAAAACTTTGAGACATTACAATTATTATTATTTTCTAATATATCACAGTCTGTTAATGTAGGCCAAAATCATTCTTGAAAATTAGACAAAGGATTTTTAATGCTTGAAATTATTTCTTATATTTAATATTTATTTTTTCATTTAAATAGATTGACAATCAATGCAGAATGTTATCTTCAGCTTCATAACTTTCCTATGGATGAACATTCTTGCCCACTGGAATTTTCAAGCTGTAAGTGACAAAATATGTTATAATTTCATAGAATTTTAGCCTCAGACTCTGTTTATTTAAATGTGTAAAATAAAATGAGATAAAATATATAATTTTCAGAAGTGTGGATTATGTTCATCTCTCAGATAAAATAGTTACAAATGACGTATTTTTCTTGCTTTTAAATTAAAAAGTGACAATAAATGCATAGTAAATGTATATATTTAATTATACCCTTGCTTACAAATTTTGGTTTTATCCAGTGTCTTTTTCCTATTTTGATTAAATAAAGTAGTCCTGAAGATAGGTTTGTGTTCAAGTGTTTTAACACTGCCATGAATAAAATATTGTTTCAAATTTTATTCATCTCCTGAAGCAAGATTTAATTTTATTATATTGAATTTTAAAATATGTTTCAAAGATTGGTTTGGTGAATAATATTTACTACATGAATAGCAAATCTTTGAGAAGACTTTAATGAACTGGAAAAAACAAGGTAGAAATAAGGTTATTTTATTCAAAAGAAAGATTGAAACACAGAGAAATGACTAGAGCTAAATAATTTTAATATAAAAAGTATTTTGTTCCGAGAAAATAATTATCTTTGTATATGAATATCAATTTTATTTCATATTTATTAATGTTTACATATATTTTTATAAAAATGTTTTTCTAGATAATATATAATTGAACAAGTCTTAAAAACATGTAAAATGAGTTTAAAAAATGTTATTGCTTATATACACAAATTGTCTGCTATTTTCCTTCTATTGAAACTTGACCTTTTTATATATCACATTCTAAAGTTTATTCACTGTAGATTTTATGTATTCACAAGTATTATCCTGCTTCTTCACTTACAAAATTCCCAAATATCTCTTGTTGCTTTTATTAATGATTTTCTTGACTTTTCTTAAAGATTTTTGTCTCATTAAAATGTTCTTTTAAATTTATAATCTATCTCACTGCTTTAATTTTCTAACATCAACTTCTCAATGAATAAAACAGCCAAATCATAACAAAGACTTGATTAATCCAAGCACTCAAGGAATAGTTGGAATGCAAATATTTGAAAATCTAGCAATTATTGTACTTGCCTCCTAGACACCATGACTAAATTCTTGGTGTGATATCTCTTTGGCTTTGATTGTCATTGCTAGAAATTATTAATCTGTCCCTGTGAATGCATTTGGTTATCACTGACATAAATATAATAATCAGAGCTAACTTTTCAGGTATTCTACATGGATCCAGCAGAGAATTAAGGTTTCTATACCTAATTTCACAACAAATATATTCAAAAATTTCAATACATCCTTATTTAAAAAGTCAGTATCATGAAATTTAGAATAGTTAAGGAACAAGCTCACTATTTTTATTAGTGCACACACTCATATACTATGACTATATTCTATTGCATTGATAATGATAATTTAAAAAAAATACAAATTATGGAAAAGCAGAAAGGTTAGAGCCTGATAGAACAAGAAAGAAGACATGAAAAAAGAAAATAGAGAACAGATTTTTAACAGGTTAGTGGAGAGATGAGCTATTTCATTGAATGGCTGATGAGGATATCCTGGTACAAAGTGATACAATGTTTTGAAAATTTTTAAAGTTGATAGTGAATTCTGTTCCTATAATGTAGTAGACCAATTCTTCTGTTGAAAACAATTTAAAACTTTATATTATTAAAAATCTTCTCAAAAACATGTAAGTGAAATCACCAGGAAGGAATTGAAGCATAAAAAATTAAGCCAGAAATGTTTATAGGGACTTTTGACCCAAGGACATTTGCCAAACAAGGTAAATTTGAGCTTTGACTTTGACAGCTTTGTGGATTAGGGTTCTAATAGAACATAATTCCTACATACAGCTGGGTTACAAAGGCTGGATGCTTAAGGGAACATGAAGAAGCAACACATACATGTGTATGTATGTACAAACATACTAAAGTCTAAAAGAAAAGTTGCCTCTGCAATCAGCATACTAGGGTGAAGTAATTCCTTGAGAGGATATAATTACAAACCCACCTTCACATGAATTTGTAGCCCCAATTTCCTTCACTTGATTACTCTGAAAAGTCCCTGTGGATTTTTCTGACATGTGGAAGAAAAAAAAAAATTTTTTTTGAAAGAATACACCTCCATGCTAAGCAACTTCCAAGATGAAAAAGACATTTTCAACACAAATTACTAACAAAGATCTAGTATTCAGGCTATATAACTAATTCAGACCAAAAAGAGAAAGAGAGAAAGAGAGAGAGAAAACCCAATAAAGGAATAGGTGATTCAACAAGCAATTCTCCAAAGAAGAAACCTAAGAATCTAATAAACATATGAAAAAATGACTAAGTTTCATTCATAATCAGGAAAATGTGAAATAAAATTAGCTTACAGACCAGTAAAAATAGACTGTCCACATCAAGTTAAATGAGAATATGGATCCAAGTATACTTTCATACTCTGGCTGGTGAGAGAATTTATTGGTATACTCTTTATGAAAAGAAGATTGGCACTGTCTCATAAAGTAGAAATTATATGCAATCTGTGACCCCAGCTATTCCATACCTATATATATCCCAGAGAAACTTGCATATATGTATTTTGTGAGGCATGTATAGTAATGTTACTAATAGCAATGTTATTATTGACCAAAAGGAAACATTATAGGTGTCTATGACAGTAAAATAGATAAATTTCAGTACATCTTTATGATGGAACAAATTTACTAAAGCTACATACATTAGCATGGATGACTATTACAAATATCATATCAAAAGAAGTAAAATATAAAGTAATGCATCTAGTATGGCAACAATCAAGTAGAATTCAAAAAGAACCTAAAATAAGCTATATTGTTTCAGAAATGCATATCAGAAAATCTATAACCAAAACACAAGGGAAGGATTATCACAGAAATCAAGTTAGTGGTTACCTCTATTTACAAGAGGGACTACTATATTGGGGTGGACACATGAGTTTTCCGAGACACTAGCATGATTCTATTTTTTTATTTAAGTAGAGTTACACGGATTATCATTATATAATCATTATATGATTTTTAAACTATACACATATATTTTATGCCATGTTTTCTATATTTGACATACCTATAATACAAACATGAATTTCAAAGAACTTGCCTTGGAATGATGTTGGTATTGAAACAGTAACAGACTTAAATCTTGCTAATCTATATATTTTTATTTTAATTTTTATCTAGATGGGTACCCTAAAAATGAAATTGAGTATAAGTGGAAAAAACCTTCTGTAGAAGTGGCTGATCCTAAATACTGGAGATTATATCAGTTTGCATTTGTAGGGTTACGGAACTCAACTGAAATTTCTCACACAATCTCTGGTAAGAAGGAAACACCAATCACTGAATGAAGCTAGCATCAAATGACTATATATTTAAATCATAGGTTGGAATCTATACTTTTATATATTTTAATAGCAAAAATAAAACTGTTTTTTTCTTCCAGGGGATTATATTATCATGACAATTTTTTTTGACCTGAGCAGACGAATGGGATATTTCACTATTCAAACCTACATTCCATGTATCCTGACAGTTGTTCTTTCCTGGGTGTCTTTTTGGATCAATAAAGATGCAGTACCTGCAAGAACATCACTTGGTATGATATGAATATTATGCTATAGTATCATGAGACTGTTAAAATATTTTAATGTGAAGAAAGTTTATAGTTGAATATGTTAGAATATTCCTCTACATTACAATCAAGCAAAAATTTACAAGTACTCTAGTGCTTTATAAAATGTTGAAATGAATATATGACAAACAAGTAGGAAATAGAATCACAAAGAATTTAAAATTTCAGAATTTTAAAAATTTTTCCTGCTAATGGAGTTCAAAGGAAACATAAATACTCAGCAGGAATTAATAAACAAAAACCACACATAATCTCAATTTGGTCTATATTTTTAATCACTCTTCATCAAGATTTTATTTTATTTTTTAGCTGAACCACTGATAGCCAGCATTTATTAACCGATGTGTGTTTAGAAGGCTTTGAAATCCCCTGCTCTTACAATGGTGCTAATCAACAGTGAACTTTTCTAAAGGGCAAGTCACCAAAAAGGACAAGAAACTTCTGGGCTTCTGTAATCTATAAAATGTGTAATTAGTCTATGAATATTTTGAGAGATGCCTGTACAATAACACTGATTAAAAGGGTAATTTGTAATTCATATATGAAAAAATAGACTTTTGGTTTCTTTCTTTAGCAATCAATTGCAATAATCAAAATCATATAAAAATGTGTGTAATTACTATACGTTTGTTTAAAAGAAAATAGCATCCATTTATGTATTGATATACAAAGACAACTTATTGATCAATTTCATTCCCAAGATCAGTGCAAGACATGAATCACACTACTGATAATTGTGTCTTAAAAAATATAAAGTTGGAACAGTCTGTTTTCAACAATAAGGAGGTTTTCATGTGGTTGCTATGATAGCTGGTGAATAATTCCATTTAATAAATACAGTAAAATGAAAATCACATAAAAGTGGCAAGATAAAGCCTGAGGCACCCAGCTCTAAACTTGGAAAATACAGTCCCCTTGGGAGTCCAAAGAGAAATGTACATATAGCCAGTGAATAAAATGTACTTAATACCTGCTTTTTGTTTCCTATTTAAACTATTATTATTATTTCAAATTATTTTATGTTTAGAACATACTTTAGAGTAAATAAATTATTTCAGATTCTTTGTATGCTACCATACAAAGAGTATGACTTAAATATTACATTTTTGTTTTTAAACACTATTCTCATATTTTTTCCCAAAGAAAATTTGAATGGACTATTTCTTTTTTTTTCTTTTTTTAATGTTTATAGCAGCTTTATTCACAATAGCCCCAAACAAGAAATAACCAAATGTCTGTCAATGGGTGAATGAATAAGTAAATTGTAAATTATGGCCAATGGAATACGCCTCTGTAATAAAAAGGAGCATACTACTGATACACAACACAGAGCTACAATATGGATGAATCTCAAAAATAGGATACTGAGTCAAATAAGCAAGACACAAAAGCATACATACTATAATAAGCTCATTTATATGAAGTTCTTTTTTAAAATATTTTATTTATTTATTTGATAGGGAGAGACAGCGAGAGAGGGAACACAAGCAGGGGGAGTGGGAGAGGGAGAAGCAGGCTTCCCGCCGAGCAGGGAGCCCGATGTGGGGCTCGATCCC